ATGGGACCCAGCAGTTCCCACTCCTATATACACCCAAGAGAAATGCAAGCACACATCCACTCAAAACTTGCAGGCGAATGTTCACAGCGGCACTATTCCTAACAGCCAAAAGGAGGGAGCAGCTCAAAAGGCCATTAATCGATGAATGGATAAACAAAGGATGGTATACATCCATTAATGGAATATTATTCAACCATAAAACAACCAAAAAAACTCCTAATCCCAACTAAAAGTACTGATTCACGCTACAACATGGATAAACGTTGAAAACATTATGCTATGTAAAAGAAGCCAGTCACAGAAGCCGCAGATGCAGGATTTGTGGAATGTTCAGAAAGCAAACCCATGAAAACAGGAAGGAGGTGAGTGGTTGTTTAGAGCTGAGGAGTGGGCAGTGTCATAGCTAAAGGGGTTTTGGATGATAAAAGTTCTAAAATTGTGATATCTGTACTTATCTGTGACTATACGAAAACCCATTGAAATGCACACTTTAAATGGGCAAATTGTGTGGTATGAGAATTGTATCTCAATACAGTTGTTATTTTAAAAATGATTAATTGGGGCCACAGGCATTCAGGATTGCAGGAAATACATATTCGTCTGTTCAGGGGCCAATTAAATGCACCGCTGCTCTGTGGGCACAGTGCACAGAGGGGTGTGTTTCCACTCCTCAGGGCCAAGACTGTGGTGGCCTCAGGGTCCATAGGGTTTGCAACCAAACAGGGTCACCGGTGAGAATCTCAGGAGAGCCTTGCAGAAATCTGTGGCTGGGAAATGGGGGCACCTGAGTTTGGGGAGCACTAGTCATACTTATGCCAGTTCACATACATACACGTGTGAACAGGAGTTCTAACAGGAGCCCACGACCAGCCTCTGTTTGATTTCAGGCTCAAAGGTTTGTGTTCTAGGGGTTGATGGTTTTAACCTTTTACTAATGTGCATTTAGCAAATTTAGATTTGTGAGTTGAAATCTTCCTACGTTTAGGTGCAGTAATAGACCCTCAAAGGGAATTTTAGGTTCGCTCTATTTATGTTTATTTTATAAGGAAGAATTAGTTAGGGCCCAGGAAGTCTGTTCAAAGTGAAAAAAATAATGTCTCAGATTCACAAATCCAGCTTATGTTTTAAAACACTTAGCTACGCTTCTGGTTTCCTCCCGCAGCTCCGTCCCGCAGCCCCGGGTAGCAGCGGGCCCCGCAGAGCCCCTCCGCGGCCACCGCGCAGCCCCTCCCGGTTCGGACCCGCCCCCGCGGCCCTGGAGCACAGAGGGGCCAGACCCCCGAGCCGCCGCGGCGAGGACGGCCACGGGGCGGGGCCTGAGCGGGCCGGGGCGGGGCCGGGCCGGGGCCGGGGCGGGGCGGGGCGGGGCCGGGGCGGGGCGGGGCCGGCGTGGGCGGGAGGCTGCTGCTCGAGCGGGGCCGGGGGCACACGCCGCGGACACCGGTGAGCCCGGGCGGCCTTCGCCTTGGCTCCGGGCAGGGCGGTAGGGCGGGGAGAAGCGAGGGGGGACGTTGGCAGGTCCTGGGGCGGGGAGGCCCCCGGGGGGCGGCCCCGAGGCGGGTGGACAGACCTTGGCGGGAGGAAGCCTGTGGGGTTCCGGGCGAGGGGTAGTAAAGGCCCTTCCGGCGGCGGAGGACGGCCGACCCAGCTGGGCAGCCCCCGCCAGCCTGCAGTGCCCAGGGGCAGGGGCCGGCCCTGGGGGCGGGAGCGCCCCGGGCCAGGGGAGAGGGCGGACTGGGAGGGCAGCGGAGGCCCGGCCCCTGCCCTGCCGGCCCCAGGGCGGAGCGGACGGCCCTGGCCTGCGGGGCGGAGCCAGGTGGGGGGCCCGGGGGGCCCGCACCCCCGGTGCCCCAGCAGCCCTGTGCGCGCGTCCCGCTGCGTCTTCTGAGGCAGCGTCACAAGGCCCGGCCCCTGCCCTGCCGGCCCCAGGGCGGAGCGGACGGCCCTGGCCTGCGGGGCGGAGCCAGGTGGGGGGCCCGGGGGGCCCGCACCCCCGGTGCCCCAGCAGCCCTGTGCGCGCGTCCCGCTGCGTCTTCTGAGGCAGCGTCACACCGAGCGGGGCCCGCGGGCCGAATCCCACCCTGGCCCACCTGGCACCTGCCTTGTTCGCAGGGCCCCCGGACCTGGCAGCCCGTCTGTGGCCTGAGGGGGCTCCCCTGGTTTCCGGCCACGCAGCAGCGCCTGTGCTGACCGTGAGGTCGCTCCAAGATGGGCCCACGCCTGGCCTGGGAGCCTGTCCAGGTCCCTGCCCCAGGGCACTGCCCTCGTCCCCTGGGCCCCACCGCAGCCACACACAGACCCCAGGTCTCCTCTCCGCACCTGCCGCGCGCACTGCCCCAGCCCTGGCCCGCCCTCCCCGTTCCTCTCAGAGGCCAGGGCAGCCCCCCACTCTGGGCTCTCTAACGTACCCCCTTCTCTTCTAGACCTTCCAGCGATCTCCCCTGGCCCCTTCCCTCAACATGTAAACACACTTGGGCCTCTGTTGTCTGGAGAAGAAGCGTTGGACCCCAGCCCCAGGTGACATCCAGAACGGCACGCTGGCCACCTGCCCTCTGCATTTCCTCACGCCCTCTGCCCTCTGCTCTGGGGGCTCCGCACCTGTGCTGGGAGGTCACGCTAACCCAGGTAAAATTAACACCAAGTTACTAAGGCTGTGGGTGGACCTCAGCAGCCTGTATTAACACCGTCCCCTAGGAGGCTGTGGGCTTCCGAGACATTACGATTCGAGGTCCCCTGGCTGTCTGTGTGCCCCTCTGCCAGTGTCTCTGCCTGTCCTGACTCAGGCCTGTCCTTGCATCTCTCACTGTTCCCTCTCTTCCCAGATGGTCTCACCCTTCCTGTGACTTCAGTCATCAACAACCCTTGCATCTTCTCTCTCCAGCCCTGACCTCTCCTCCGAGCTTCCAGCTCATGGCCAGTGCCTCCTGGTGGCTGCTGCCTAAGGATGTTGTGTGTGTCTTCTGGGAGGTCCTGCCCTGCCAGGGGCCTGCGGCTCGCCGCAAGGCCAAGCTGCAACTCCTGTTCTTCCGAAGTGGGGATAGGCCCGGGCTCTGTGCTAGAGGGCTTGGGAGGTCATGCTGTGCTCAGCAGACGGGGGACAGCCAGGCACAGGGAATGGGCAGAGGCCGAGTGAGGAAGTGGCCAGGGAAGGCAGCCCTGGGGACCCACTGCAGCTGGGCTGGGGACAGAGAGCCCTGTGGACTCGGGAAGTGGCACCAGCCACCCCGCCATCTCAGCACAGGCCTAGACTCTCTTTTTCATGCCTCGCAACCAAGCAACTAGTTCTCGTAGTAACTCAGAGCGATTCTCTGTGCCTGGTTTGTGCCGCCATCGCCTGCCCTTGACCGTGGTGGCCTCAGTCTAACCCCCTCCCTGCTCGCTCGTTGTCCTGGGATCCTGTCCCCGCAGCGGTTGGGAGGAGCTGCCGCGGTTCAGACGTGGCCATTCTGCCAGGAGCCACCAGGTCTGCTCGGCGCCTTCAGGAGCAAGTCCGCAGCCTGGCGAGGCCCTTGCAACCCTTGGATCTGACCCCTGCTGACCTCTGTTCAGTTCTCACTGGTGCCAGTGCATGTGAACACACCCCACACATATGCCCACATGTCTGAACATCACACTCATGTGCTGGCACACACACACCATGAGCACATGTATCCCACCCAGCAGCTTACAAAACATGCCACCCGGACTGCAGCCTCACACACTTACCACACACATCACTTGACAGCCCCATACTAATATACTCATACCCCACACATGCTTGCACCCCCACACATCCACAATACACATGCACATGTCTCACTCCACGCTCATAGACCACATGCACTTGAACACCACATTCATGTGCTCACACGCAGTCCCCTCCCCACCCAGCTAACAATTGAGATGGCAGACAGGCAACTGAAGTCATGCTCATACCCCACACACCCACCCACGTACTCTCACGCATGCGCACACACATACAGACAGCCTGGGCTTTAACCACCCAAATCTAGTTCTCATTCCTGCCACCCCCAAATCCAGGTCTTTACACAGGCTGGTCCTTCTGAAATGCCCCCTTCCCCTTCACCACCGTCGGGACTCACATACAGCTAGCCTTTCCTAACTGTAACATCACCTTTCAGGAGTTGGAAGACCTGAAGTGGTCCAAGAACTCTCTTAAGAATCAAGCCTAAATGCAGGAGGCCTGCTTGGTCAACCTGGGAGTAGGAAAACAGATTCTAGTTCCTAAAACTGGGAAAATTTATACGTCATCCCTCCCCACGTGTGTTTTTGCTGCCGTGTCATCTCAAGAGTCATTTGCAGCATAACCTTTGAAATGAGAGGCGCCTGTGTGCTTGTGATCAGTAAGGGGGGCTGTGGATAAAGAGCCAGGAGGGATGGCAGGAAACCCAGTGGGCAGGCACTGGGGGAGGCAGCTCTCAAGAGGGAAGATGGCCTTGAGCAGTAGGATGGTAGGGGAGGAGGACAGACGGTGTCAGCAACCGTGAAGAAAGGCCAGGCTCTTCACTGGGAACGTGGCTGGCTGGGCCAGTGAGGTCCTCTGAGGGGGTCTCTGCTGGTGGCAGAAGGTTGAAGCTGGGAGTGGGCATGCCGGCAGGGGTGGAGGGCAGGGCCAGAGCCAGCCTGGGGCAGCAGGGGTTGAGCTGGGGGTGGACGACCCACCAAAGGCACCCTTGGAACTCGGAGGAGGGTCATGAGTCCCAGATGCTGTGCAGAGGGTGAGAAGGATGTGGCACTTAGGAAGCCACCTGAGATCTTTCTAGAACAGCAGAGTGTTGGTCCAGTGCCAAGCTGTAGAAGCATAAGAGGCAGAGACCTCCTCTCCCAGAAGGAGGGTGTTTTCAGGCCTGATATGGATGGGGGGGGTGCTCAGCAGGGTGGGCGAGGTGCAGGGCCGGTGACGCAGGTCGCTGCAGGGACGGGTGGACCCTGGGCACATGTGGAGAAGTCAGCCATCTCCAGGGCAGGACGAACCTGGTAGGGAGCGGCTGGGCTGTAGATGTGACAGCCACCAGCTTCTCATCCCCCACTCACCCTGTGCGCTCTTAACCAACACAGACCCCTGTTGCACCCCTGGGACTTGGCCACACCTGATACTTTCAGTGTGCCAGCTGCTCTGCCCACAGCTTCCTGCTCTGGCAGCGTCCCCGCCCCCTGGTTCCTGTTGCCACACTTGGCTGTGCAGCCCCTGGCCCTCTGGCCTGCGAGCGGCCCCCAGGCCGGCCCCACGGACCACCACCTCGATGCCGCTCCCTTCGCTGCTCACCTGCCCCCCACCCTGTGGGGCCCTGCTGCAGCCATGACCCTCCCCCCGGGCTTCTGTCCTGGTCTACCCTTGGCTTCTAGGCTTGGCTGTGTGATAGCCTGCTGGCCACCTCTGAGTGGAGAGTAATGGGGGAGGAGGGTGGGGAGGCTGGGGACGAGGGACACACTGGCCCCAGCAGGGCAGGAGCTTGGGGTTCCCGAGCAGGGACTCTGCAGCTGGAGCCACCTGGCGGCCCCGCTGAGGGGAGGTGGGAGGGTGTGGGGGGGGCTCCCACATGAGGTGGGCCTGGTTTTGCCCACATGCCTGTGGTCCTGTCCCCCGCCCTCGCCTGCTAGGGCCCTGTCTCATGGGTTTGTCACATCCACGCCCCCCTCCCCAGGAGGGCCTGAGGCCCCGGCACAAAGAGGCTCTCCTCTTCCGAGCAGCCCCCCAGCCCCTCCTTGACCTTGGGCCTCTTACAGTTTCTCTGGCGTTGGGAAGGGCTGGCTGCCGCCTCACCAAGTCCACTGGTGAACCCGCTGATGCCCAGGCCACCTGCCTGTGTCTTGATCGCTGACTTCAGCTCACGGTTCTCGCAGATGAGCCGCACCAGCTTCTTCAGTTCCTCATTCTCCCGTACCAGCCTCTCGATCTGATACCGAAGCCCCTCATAGTTGGTGAGCAGAGACATGCCCCAGGGCTGTGGGGAAGGCGTGGCCCACGGCGGGCACTGTACCTGGAGGCTGCCCAGGGTGGAGGAGGGTGCCAGAGTTTGGAAGCTGTCAGGCTGGCCCAGTGGGCCCTGGTATTGTGAGGTCAGCGGCTGTGCCCCCCCCAATGCCCTTCTGGCCGCCCAGGCCATGCACAGGCCCTGCCTGCTCCTGGGATGGGCTGGACCGTTCTCTGTCCTGCTAGCCTCACTCTCAAGGGGCCTCACCTGTGACGCTTCCTCTAGGCCTCCAGGCTGCCCCCACGATGTGCCCTGCATCATGCACCTGGCCCTGGCACTGCTGTGAGGGTGACCCTGCTTTACAGTGAGGGTGGCGGCTGTGCAACAGGGGCCTGGAGCAGTGCGGGCAGGTGAATATCTTTTGAAGGGCATTTTGCAGCCTGCCTTCCTGGCTAGGATGCCCTTTCCTTGGGGTGTTGTGCACACCTGGATCCAGTCTGTCTGCCCCTTCCTGGGGACAGTCTGTCTTGGACACCTGGACACTTTCTTCTGATGCCAGGAGCTCAGGGCCTTTCTCTGACTGTCAGCCCAAGGCTCCCTCGTCCCAGCTCCCTCCAGCTTGGGGCTTTCTTTCCTGTAGACTGTTCCTGTATTCCAAGTCTCTGGGCGATGCCACCTCTGTGCCCACGCCTCTAGTCTTGGGTTCCTTGCATTTGCCTGGCTCTGCCCTTCAGTGACCTAAGATGACCCTGAAGACTCCAGGGGCTCAGCCCTCTGAGTCCTCATCACACTCCCGTTTTTAGGAGCTGTCTGCACAGGGAACTCTGTGGCTGGACCTTGGAAGTCAAGGGAGGCCGTGTCCTCATGACGTCCACTGGCTCTGTGGGCATCTGCTCTCAAACGGGGAGCTGGTTCGTCTGGGTGTAAGCCAGAGGGCACGCTGCTGGCCAGGCATGGGAGGGCGAGGACAGGGCTGGAGGTCAGCCAGGGCTGGGGTGGGTCTGAGCTGAGCATTCCATCTGGACCTCACAATGGGGCCTGCCCCGCCCTCCTCCGTGCCCCTGACCGTATCCCAGCAGAGTTGCTCTGGCCCTGGGGACCTGGGTTGATCTCTCATACCCTCCGTCTATAGAACATCTGCCAAGCTTTCCTCCAGTGGTGAACATGGGCTCTCGGCCCTCTCGGTCCTCTTCTACCACCCGGTCCTGCCCCAGTGTCGGCCTCTCCTCGGGCTGATATGTCTGATGCTTAGATTTTATGTGTCAGCGTGGCTGGGCCGTGGTGCCCAGCTGTCTGGTTAAACACCAGTCTGGACATTGCTGTGGAGATGTGTTGTAGATGTGATTAACTTCTACAGTTAGTTGATTTTGAGTAAAGGCAGTTAGCCTCACTCATGTGGTGGGCCTCACCCAGTCAAAGGCCCTAAGAGCTGCAAACGGGTTTTTCAGGGAAGAAGGAATTCGCCTCAACTGCTGTCCGAGAAATCCTGCTGTTTCCAGCCTGCTGGCTCGCTCTGCAGACTTGGGGATGTTGAGCCTCAGCCGCCTCCTCCTCCTCTGTGTTCCCTGTTTCTAGGCTTCGTCTGCGGTCTCTGCTGCTATTCCCCCTTCATTCTAATATCCTTATCTTTTGTTCTATCATGAATGCAAGTGTCCTTTGACACCCAACTGAGTTTGGGGGAGAACAAGGGCTTCCTCTAAAAAGTGTGTCCACGTGGACTTGGGTCCTGTGCCTGGGGGCGGAGGGGTGGCCGGCCGCCCTTCTCTGCCTTTTGTCTGTCTCTCCCTCGGGGACAGCATCGCTTAGGAACTTGCACAGCTCCTGCCTGCAGGGAGGTAGGGCCCAGCTGGCATCCTGTACGGTTGCATATTCATGTGCTCATTAGGAATTCACTGCAGACAGACCTGCAGTGTTTTTTCTCTGGCTTGTGCTGGCTCATATCACCCCACTTCTGGTCTTGGGTCACTGGCTTTGCTCAGTTTGTCTCCATTCAGATTTGCCTCATTAGATTCAGCTCAGCACAGCAGCTTGGCAAGGCCTTCAGGGACTTCTGCTTCCATCTTGGCTTGGGATTCTTTGGGATTTAGCAACTTTCTTGTAAAGCTGTCCTCTCCAGGCATAAAGGTGCTGAGAACAGGGATCTTTAACCTGGAGCTCTCTGTCCGCACCCCTTCTACCTCCTGCGCACGCACACAGGGGTTCTGGGAGGCACCTCCCAGCAGTACCGGCCATGTGGTCCCTTTGGTCCTGCTCCCCCGTGGCTGCTTTTTCAGCCTCGGGCCTACAGCACATGGCTTCCTGTTGCTGAGCAGTTGCTGGGAGAGGTTTGTCCAGCCTGCACCCCACGCAGCCATCCAGCACATGGAGCGCGGCTGCCTCAAGACCCACAGATGCGCGGCCGTCCTGATGAGGTCGCCCAGCCGAGTCTTACATAACGGGGTTGGCACGGGATGAGAGCCCACCTGTAGGGCATTCAGTGACCCTCTGCAGCCACTCAGACTTCTCTGACCCTGGCCAGAGGCTGCTCTGGCCCCCATGGCTGCATGTTAGCCATGGGCTGGGGGGCTGGGTTCCGGACCTGGGATCGGCTTCCCAGCCTGCTTGTTCCCGGTCTGGGTTCCAGCCAGACCTCAGTGGCAGGCCTGCCCCTGGGGGGAGGCGTGATGTCTTCTCTGCCTGGTCTTAGCAGCCCGTCTCTGCTCTTCCCCCTCCTTTAGCCAGATCCAAAGGGAAGGCTTCCCCAAACCCCAGCTCCCTCGAATCCCTGGGAGCCCTGGGATTCGGACACAGCCCTCTCTAGATGTAAGCTCGCTTGCTGGGCGGTGGTGATGGGCAGCTGCTTAGGCCAATCAGTGCTGCCCCCTGTGATGCTGCCAGCGTCCCGCCACATTCCTTAGAGGGGAGACCCTAGCCCCAGACCGCTCTCAGCCTGTCGGTCCCCTGGGTGTCACACTTGAGGAATGGTGGGCTGTAGTTTCATAGTGAGGAGGAGTCTGGACTCTTAGCTTGTCGTGTTACTGAAAAAGCCGGTCACAGGAGGGCATCCTCAAATACCTCAGTTTTCCCATAATACTTGTTTCGAAAATGTGAACGTGTTTCAACGTGACTGACATACTTGGAAACAATTCAGCCTAAGGTAAATTTCCTTTCTGTGCAGTTTTGCCTCAAGAAGCGCTAGGTGGAAGCATAAAGCAAAAACTGCACCCAGCTGAACAGGCCGGAGCGGCAGGCGCACACCGGCTCTGCAGACCCCCGGGCACACCTGGCACTCATGGTGCCGTGTGTACTGAGCCACACCACCCTTACCCCGTCACGGGCTTGCATCCGACCACGCACCACTGCACAGTAACCCACGGCCCCTTGCTGATGGGCTTCAGGCCCTCTTCTAGCGAGGAGCCGAGCCCGTGCGGCCATCTGAGCTCCCCAGCTGACTTTCACGTGCAGGCCACTCTCTAGTTTATCAGGCCCCCGGCATGTTTAGATGCGTCCCTGGTGAGGCTTCTGTGTGGCCCACCTCCAGCTCCGTGTTTCCCCCGAGTCTTTGGGTTTTTGTTGTGTTGCCTGGACCCTGTGTGACCTGCTGCCACTCTGGTGGTTATTCAACCTCCGTGAGCCGCAGACTCCTCACCTGTGGCACAGCACTTACCTGGTTTATCTGTCACTCAGCAACCAAAGACCGGGGCAGGCCCCAGCTGTGAGCAGATGTGTTTGAAGCCCTGGGCACACAGTGGGTGTGTGCACCTGCTCTGGGAAAGCGGCAGGAGGGCGAGGGCTGTGCAGGCGCAGCAGGAGGCTGGGGGCAGGAGCGGCTGTAGAGCCTCTGAGGGATGCACTGGCTGAGAGCTAGGGATGAGGGGCAGAGTCCTCAGAGCCAGGGGACCGCGGGGCAAGGCGATGTGAGCTGGAAAGGCCAGGCAGAGCTGGGGAGGGAGGCTGCTGCCTGCTGGACCTGCACCCAGTACCTATACAGAGCAGGCTGGCACGCAGGTCTATGCGACAGAGGCAGGCAAGTTCATAGCAAGTGCTGGGTGGGCATCAGCTCTGTTTGACTCCACACTGCAGGCAGGGGCGAGGGGAGGGATGCTGGGGACCAGGGATAGTGGGTGGGCAGAGGTCCATGAAGCACCACCAGAGGACCCCAGACCTCCCCACCCTGTGACCATCCTCCTGGCCTTGGACTGACTCAGGACAGTTCTGGGAGGGCTTTAAGCTGGGCGTGTGGCATCGCATGTATGCCTGGTTTGCACCTGCCGGTGGGGACGTTGCATTGAGGATCTTGCAGAGGCCCAGATGGGATCAGGGGTGGCGCACAATTAGGACAGTGGCACTGGGGGGTGGAAAGAGGGGTGCAGAACGGAGACCACCATCTTTCCTACGAGCTGAAAGCCAGGTCCTGAGACTGGCATCAGGGCGCGGCTCAGCTGTGGGGAGGCTGATTCTTTTCCTTGGGGTGTCACCTGCCCCTTGAGCAATCTTCCCCATCCCACCCTTACCTGTGCATCCGACTTAGTGCCCCATGCTGTCTATCATGTGAGGCAACTCAGTGAGGACTAGATTTACTGGGCGCATCATGTGCCATACACCGTGCTTGGCATCGAGATGGCACCACAGCTGTTACAGAGAAGTACAAAGCAGTGGGGTGCCCAGGTCAGCAAACAGGCGGTGATCATGCAGTGGGCAAGGGCTCTGCTGGGGAGCCAAGGCAGAGGGCATCTAGCCTTGGCAGGGGGGCCGGGGAGCGCCCCAGGGAAGGACTTCTAAGAACCTGATTCCTAAGAAGCAGCCAGCCACTGAAGGAATATGAGGTGGGAACGGGGTGGGGGGCTGGGGGGAAATGCAAGGACCTGAAATCGGGGTTCGGTACAATTGACGTGCAGAGTGGGGGCCGCGTCCGGTGAGGGTGAGCTGCCCATTCGCCCTACCCAGGGCCTGACTTCTGGGAGTGTGTGGGGGCTCTTCTGGCCGTCACAAGGATTGGGGGCCACAGCCCCAAATGCTAAGCCCTCC